CCTAGAACGAATAATAGCAATCTGTATTGTCTCGATACTCGTCTAACGTGACACCGATCGAGGGGCGGGCACGCGAACTACGGCAACAACGGAGCTGCCACTATGCTCTGGACGTCGAGATTGGGGGAGTGAGAGGGTCCCTTCTACAACCCATCTGGGCCGCTGAGTATTAATAAGGTAAGAACTCAATAACTTTTTTATCGTGAACGGTGCCTTCATTGATGTTAAAACTCAAATCTAATAGCTTGCTTTCAATGTTTTCCTTTTAGTTGCTTATTGATCTCAATGAGAGTGTCGATGTTTGAAGTAGACTCATAATTTTGTGAGACTTGAAAAACCTGTGTGAAGATGAAGCATATCCGATCATTTCATGGACCATTCTGTTTGTAGCTTTATTACTGCTTGATCTATAATATAAACGCAAAAAAAACATGAATAAATCACGCATGCGCAAAAAAAAATTGCGAAATGAGCGTGGGACGCATGTGTAACGCGTTGTCCCACGCCTGCGAAACGCGGGACATATATGTCCCGCGCTATCGTCTACGTATTGAAAAACACCTACCATTCAAATGCTCGCCTCCCCCTATCGTTGGCGGATCTTCGGCTTAGCACACATAAAGCTTTACTGCTTTTATTTTTTTTCTGGCCTTTACTGTTTCCTTGAATTGGGTTATGAACCTATGTGGAAAGAGTAGCTCACTGCAAGGAGGTTTCGCCCTCGGCCGGAGACTCCTTCATTTCACTTGTTGGCCCATCCCTCACATTTGATTATTTTTTCCCTGTGTCTGATGCTTTGACAGGCTCGTATGTACTCTGTTGTTCTGCCCTGTGCTCAACTCATTCCATACTTGATCCGGCCTCTCCGGATGTTCCTTCAGGAAATATCGGATTTCGTAACAGGCAGGCAGACAGACGCGAGTGCTCTATATATTGTAAGAATAGTAAGGGTTATATAGTATATAGTTATACTGAATTTCAGCACCACCATCCGTTCTCGCTGATCAGTTCGCAAAGTTCTACAAAAGAGAGAAATCAAGTCAACGATTTTTCTCGATCGTGGCTTCTAGTCTGGTATGCAATCGCAAGTGAGGCTGCTTTGATTCGAAATGAATACTATGATTGTAGACATGATGTCTGATTCTTCATGATAGTCAAACTTTTTTGTGTATCCAGCTACTTACTCTTCAGCCTCCAACAGTGTTTTTCTGACTTGCTGTTGGCGTTGAGAGATACTACCGAATATGAACTTTTCCACGGGCTCGTCCGCTTTCTTCCACATTGTTATATGCCTCAGTCCAAGGTAACAATTTACAACGACTTTACTCTTCTGGGTTTTCCACTTTTTCCAACATAATCTGAAACAACCAATCAAAGGATTTCAGCATTTCTTGAGCCAATGGATCTCAAAATGACAATGTTTGCAAATATCGTATCAATCACATTGTACATTCGACTGCCAGTGCGAATGCTTTGGTACTTGCGGGGCAAAACTTTGTGCTCAGATGGGCCTCGATCTCGCACTTGTGCTCTCCGAGCACCGTGTTGCCCCACGGTGATCCGATAGCAGAAGGTGGGTTCGAATCCCATCCGAGGCCAGAGTTTTGCCTATGGCTCGGAACCCTAACCGAGCCGACGGAGTTGTCCTTAATCTCATGTGCCGGTGAATCGAATAAATAAGGTAGTAAGAGCACTTCGCTATAGGCTATTCTTTAGGCCACCCCCTATCATAATATTTGGCTTGTTACCGAAAGTTTTCGAGCCATCCACTCGCCTATACATTTGCAAATACCTTTGTGTCAGCATTAATTTCTCAAAACTGGCCTCGGTCAGGGGTCATGATTACGACAAACGCCCTTTGTACTTTTGAACTAATCATTGAATGCATTTTTGTTGGTAGAACTGAAGGTCTTCTTGCAAATGCCACTCAACCTGTTGAAGAAAGAGCGGGGAGCAAGCTGCTTCTGAAACTGATCTGCTGATAAAAACTCTCAGCTGCTCTCGAGCTCGGAGTGAGGGATGTCATGCTTCTTTTCGGTACCGCTTCGAATGGTGCACGACCCCAGTAATTGATGATCGAGACAATGTCGTCCCCAACGATATCAATCAACTCCCAAAAATTAAGAACCGTCTCTAGAATGACATGGTGTCCTCAATGGTTCGTTCGCCTTATGTTAGTAGTGACTGCAAGAAGAATAGTTAGTGATTCAGTTATTTTTGTTGAGTTGAGGGACCCCTGAGATCTTCATCGACTTAGAGCAAGATCCCTCCCCTCAGATATGATACCATATCTTAAGGAATCTTGGCGCCTCTAGCAGATATGTGCTTCACAAAGGCGGCGCGACAAAGGCAGGGATAGCCGAGTGGATAAGAGTGTAGGCTCACGTCTGCACTTAGAGGGAGTGCGAGTTCGATCCTTGCCGAGGCAACTCCATGCCTTGCAAAAATTGCAAAAATGGTATCGATACCAGCGTCAGGCCAGGCTGACAGGCCGGCTGATGGAGAAACCCAGTCACAACAAACATGTCTAAAATCTCAAAAGGTATCAGTGATAAAGCTTGGACGTCACCCGGAAGTGGCGCACAGGATCTCCGCCCGAGTTCTGTGGACAGTATGCGAGGGCTACCGAGGAGTGAACGACCTCGGTCAAAGAAGTTAGTTCGAATTGGGACTCTGAACGTGGGTTCGCTTTGGGAGAAGGGGAGAAGTTCGTCTTCCGCCTGGCGTCAAAGCGCGTCACCGTGCCACTCAGGACATCGGGGTAGTGAAGTCCGTCAGAAACAGCGAGGGTGCCATCCTGAGAAAGCCTGGGGAGGTCAGGCGTAGGTGGAAGGAACACTCCGACAGGCTCCTCAACGGAGAATTCGCCCGTGAAAACAGCTCGCACTTGGAGGCAACGGCTGGCCCCATAAAACTCTGGACAGAGGATGAAGTGCGCATAGCAATAGGGAAGATAAAGGTTGGAAAGGCAACTGGTTCGGATGGAGCACCGATCGAGGCATGGAAGGCGCTCGGAGAGCATGGGATAAAAGGGCTCACCCGATTCCTGAACGCTGTCACCGCTGAAGGAAGAATCCCAGATGCGTGGAGGAGGAGCACTATCGTTCCAATCTTCAAGCAGAAGGGGGACGCTATGGACTGTTCCAACTACCGGGGGATCAGGTTGACTGCTCACAGATGAAACTGTACGAGCGGCTGGTCGACTCAAGATTGAGAGAATTGGTCCCAATTTCAGAGGAGCAGTTCGGCTTCATGCCTGAAAGGTCTACAACGGATGCCATCTTCATAGCTAGGCAAATTATGGAGAAGTATCGAGAGAAGCGTAGACCCTGCTACCTAGCCTTCCTCGATCTGGAGAAGGCATTCGACCGGCTTCCGCGAGAAGTCCTATGGAGTGCGCTTCGAAAACGAAACGTGCCAGAACACCTCATCTCCTTGGTCAAGGATATGTACGATGGCTCCACAACAACAATACGCACTGCGCACGGCCAAACTGGAGCAATAGATGTCACTGTTGAGGTACACCAGGGATCAGCTCTGAGCCCGTTCCTCTTCCTGCTCACGATGGACGTCATCACAGAAGAATTCGTGGATGGACCACTGAAGACCATCCTCTACGCTGATGACATCGCTCTGATAGCGGAGAGCAAGGAAGAACTCCAGGACAATCTCCAGAAATGGCAGAAAGTGCTGGCGGAAAATGGACTGCGGCTGAACTTGAAGAAGACCAAGTTCCTCAGCTCTGAGGAGGGCATGGAGTTAATCACCGACGGTTACGGGGAAGCCATCGAAAAGGTCCAGGACTTCCAATACCTGGGGAGTGATCTAGCCGCTGATGGTAGCGTGGACCAGGCCGTGAAATCCCGCTGCATGGATGAAGTGGAGGGAGTCCACTGGTATCCTCTGTGACCGCTGCATGGATGAAGTGGAGGGAGTCCACTGGTATCCTCTGTGACCGTAGGTGCTCCAGAACTTTGATAGGAAAGGTGTATCGGGCAGTGGTAAGGTCTACGATGCTCTACAGCAGCGAGTGTTGGCCGGTAAGTAAAGCCCATGAAAGACAGCTCCGCTCCGCTGAAATGAGAATGCAGAGATGGGCCTGCGGCTGGACGCGACTGGATCGGATCAGGAATGAAGA